AAGCTGGTGGGAAGAAAATGCTCGTCTTTACTGAGTTTCTCTATAAATTTTGATGTAAACTAAAAACTTAAAGCTATCCCGCAATGCGCCGCGTAGGCGGGGGGTGTCCGTAGAGTTCATTAACCATTTCAGTCCTCAAAGTCTTCACCTGTAATTTTTCAAACAATCCGTGTCTCTTATCCGCTTGAATGCGGCGATCTCTGAGATTCTGAATTTAAGTCTAATGAAGAGAAAGTTTAGAAAGTAAAGCAATACTTTCCTTTCTTCCTTACCACTGTATTGTCATCCATAAATTCCGTCTTAATATTCTGTAGTGAATCTACAATTTGCTTCATGTTTTCTCGATATCCCAAGTTCCTTTTCATATTTAGTCTTCGCGCTTTCTGTTGCATTCCGTAGATTCATTTGTAAAACTACGTTTTGCCTTTTATTCTATGAAGCGTGGCTTCTCGTTCCAATGAATTAAGGTACTCATTTTTTTAATAGACGGAAGATTTTTGGGCCTAGGATGTACTTTCCAATTTGTTCTTTTCATCTAATGTTCTTTGAGTTCTCAGTAGTGGCATTTCTCTGTCTTGGTCCAATCAGTCTCTTCTTGTGATTTCTCAGACGTCGAATATTTTATCTTCAGTGAATGCCAATCTATGGCATAATTTATGATGAATGTAATGTTTGTGAGTGTCGAAAAACACAGACGTCCATCCTGTAGACGGGATTTGAACCCACTAAATAAGAATGCTTCCTGCCACAGAAAGGACACGCCTCTAAGTTTTTATAACACTTTAAAGGTTGGTGGTAAGTATATGTACCATCCACTTCAAGAATCAGAGATTTCGGTATGGTATGCATACTATTGTCGTTGGTAAATCTCTTATTTCCGTAAACACCATAAAAGGCGGTGATCTGATGTGTAAATGTTGTGTTTTCTTTGCGGTACGTACCGATTGATCATACGATCTTCGTATTTGAAGATTAATTGCCTAAATTAAACGCTGTTTACTCTGGGTCTGGCCCTAGTAATCCTACATCCGTCTTACAACACTCATCAAGATGTCTACACGTTGACCCGCCATGTCCTCCCCCCCCCCCCATCCGGAGATAATGGATTATCACCGCATCAAACTTTAACGCTGGACCATGATCTGCAGCAATGCTCTGCGAGGGAGGATTTTCGCGTGCGATGCATAAATTATACTTTAATTATTCGGGCGAGTACACACGCTACTCGTTGCAGCGCCAAGTGGAAACAAGCGGACCGTAACGAAACCACCTTACTGCACGAGGCCTTGTTGTGTTTGTTTTGCGCCACATAACTTACACACGAGAGATTATAATGTAACATGTACCAGAACCCTCGCTTCGTCTGCATTTACATTATTACATTTGGACCATTTTCGATACAACAAAAGCTATTTGGCAAGGTTTCAGGTTCTAATGGCGACAAGTTTGAAGACAGTTCATTGAATGTAATTCGTTTTTTCGTGCTCACTCCGCGTAAGGAAATTTAGTTCTGTCACTAAAGGAAAGAATGTGGTTTGCGGCACTTTGAGGTTCGTGTGTGAAACGAGAGTGCTGTGTATTAAACTTGTACCTAAAAGATAAAGGAACCGGGAAGCTGCGGAGAATGTCGTATGGGCGCATCTTCTTTGGGTAATTCCAAAAGGATAACCTGGAAGACCTAGGAATAGATAACAGGGCAATACTAGTCGTCGGCTTTTCGCCACTTCCCATAAAATTACTTTATCCGTCAAGAAACAGATGAATATAAATAATTCTCACAAAGAGCAGAATATTTGGTACCACTGGACGTCCACCAGACGCCAGGGTCACGGATTCAAATCCCGTGTACGTTATCACCATTTTTAACCATAATCCCCCGAGTTTTGTGGGCCTAACTTTTGTTTGAACTGTCCCCTCTTTACAAGATAGCGATACCAGGTAAAGTTAAGAAAAGCAGAACTTAAAACAGTAGAAATCCCACTGTGCGCGGTGTTACAAGGTCAGCGCAAAACAGAGGCCGGCGGAGTTTTTATCTAATCGTCAGTCTGTCTTCTGCCCCTCCCCCCGGTTACCCCAGACCGTGGGCGCTGTTGATTGTAATTGCATTATAATGAATCAACCATTACCTAAAGCGTCGTTTAAAGGCAATTATTTATATTCTTAAGTTACTTAAAACGCGTTAAGTCGTGTAGTAGACTTGCCTTTTCTTCGCTTTTCCCATTAAAATTCCGTGTGCATTTTCGTTCAAAATACATTTTCGTCGTCTTTGATTTGGTCGCTCTAGTAGCAGGACGAACTTCTCATTTTGCGATTCTCATCTCTATCTTTTTTCCATGAAACTTTTCCTGAATCTATGTTACATGCAAAACATCATACCGGATGTTCGTACGGCCTCATTTAAACACGGGGAGATTTAATCTTTTACGAAAACCATGTTCCGTGTCTGTGAGCAGTAAACCTCCTTCAACACGGGTTTGATTATACGCGAAAGAGCGGATGGGAACAAATTATCTGCCGAACGCAGTAAATTCGATTATACGCGGTCTGCCAAACGCGCTCTATTAGCATACCAAAAATAGCTCTGTGATTCAAAAAACTAAAGACGGCTTTGATTTGACATCGATTTATACAATCAACTTCGTTTGTTTTATCCAGCGTATGTAAGAGAGCAAAATTCAACTCGACTGCCATTCCCGCATTTCTTCCTTCTTTCTTCGTCTCACAAACTTCTTGTAATACACAGTCACATTCTTGCGATTTTCCTCGTCGACAAACACACGGAGCCTTGCACACTAGATCAGGGGTTCTCACCCTTTTTCGCTGGCGTACCCCAAATTCTAATTTAACACATTAAATGTACCACCGATGAAATGCGTTCTGGGAAAACTTATTTATGTTGATATTATCTTCTGATTTTCTTACTTAGTTCGCGTACCACCAGTGAGTGGTACGCGAGGCATAGGTTGAGAAACGGTGGACTGGAGGGAATGTCTCATAAAATGTAATTTTCTTCGTGATGAAAGTTTACATTATAAATGTGAGGCTTAAATATTTAAAGCAGCCGACAGAAATTCCAGTGTATTTGCCAGCTACGCAGTTACCTGTGTACCAGATTAAACGTTGCTGAAATGCATTGGGTTATGTGCGTTCTCGTATATTTTAGGATAAATAATTTTTGAGGAAGTTGCTATAGATCAGACAGGCTCTGTAAACAAATTAGACCCCAGGGTATTTTAATTTGACCACTGACAGCACCTGCCTAACATCAGGTGCTGTGCGCCTGTGCAAACACCGTGTATTCCGTCCGTTCCGTGTTTATTGTAGTCATACACCACTCTTGCATGTGCGTGCGCCCTTGCGGATACATATCACCGGAAACTGCAAGGATCTCGCTACTTTAAAGCCACAATGATCTCAGAAATTTATGTAAAAAAAATAAATTCAGTGGTTAAATAATGCAGGGGGGTGTATGAAGAGATCACGTGGGATTTTCAACTGAAAAGGAGCACGTTTAGCAGAAATCGAATTATAATACCTTCCGTTGATACGCACGTCTGTACAAAAGCGAGAGAGGAACACGTTTGTCAGAAAAATCAGGGAGATTACTTCGAATATGAAGGGATGAAAATGCTAACGAGAAAAACATAGGATCATAATATTTCAGGGCGAAGGCAAAGGACATCTTGGGTAAGCGATTTGGACGTCCGTGCAGACATAAAGAGGTGTTCACTGTTTTTAATAGGATCAAGATTGCGTTACAGGTCTGCAGGTTTCGTTAGAGAATGTTACAGAACCAACACTAACACGTCATGCCATGTCCTTACAGATCCCTGCAACATCCCATACGTTATCTAGCGGCAGAATGTAGGTGAAACAAGAGTTGTTGGTGAAGCATTTCTGCTGTTACTGAAGTTACGTTCAAACAATTAATTATTATTTTCGCCAACACTTTTCAGTCGCATTACCTCCCGTGGCGCTGTAATGCGATACCACGAAGATGTGAACCGATGATCAAGTGTTTCATTTCCTAAAGCGTTCTTCAAGCTCGGAGTTCTAAGTCAAGTGTCGGTTTAACAAATTTAAGGGTAGTTACAGAGTGGGAAGTGTCTCCGGAGCAGGAGTATCTTCATTCGTAAGAAAACTAGTGAAACGTTCGCTTGTCGTAGCAACACAAAGTTCGCCTTTGCACTGGAACATGTTTTGTCAAGGATGGGAATTGGTGGATCATTATTTTGTATATAATGTACATAGATTAGTTTCATTGTGAGGTCAGTAAACTAGTGGGGAAATGTTTTGAGGAAGCACGAAAAGGCAGGAAAAGTTTTTAATTCACTGATGTCACAGAGAACGAAGATTCTTTCATTGCATCGTTTCTAACGGACGGACACTTCTTTTCGCAGGTTCTAGTGCTCCGGGTCGCAGCGCAGCAGAACACGACCCTGCTCTCGGAAGAGGGCGACGACGCGGAGTACCTGGACAAACTCGAAATGGAGCTGGAACAGGTAGGCCTGGTACCAGCAGTCACGTGCTAATTAAGGCGTGCTTTGCAATTAGGCCTGGGGCGTGTCTTCTTATTTTACAAGTTGAAGTTGTTTCGTTGTCCACGTTTATACTTGCAGAACGGAACATCAGCAAATGTGTCTCATGATACGTGCTTACTTAGATACCAAAATACGCGGTAGTAAACCATAAACTGGGGGGAGACACGGGGACACAACATGAAGAATATACAAACTGCTCTTTACCAAAGGACAATTGCCCCAGGACGGGGAGGAATGAGGTCGAGATTAAATCGTGACGGGTGGATAACGATGCAAACTATGAAACACGAGCCACGCATGGCTCAGAGCAATGTGCAGTCAAAAGCGAGAAGTGACGAATAAATTCATATTCTCGGGTTGGTCGCCGCTGCCTTAAATGTCTGTAAATATTAGTTGAAGATTTCTGTCTCTTGGGTTGTTGCGCCGTGTAGTCTGGTAGAAGTTTACTGACGGTTCGGAGGTCATGATGCCTCCGTCATCAGGGTGTTAACGCTACTAAAAATAGCTTGCGTAGGAAGCGCTGGATCACGTGTCAATGTAAAATGCAAAGCGGAAGTGAGGATCGAAAGAGTGACCTGTCGGGGACGATGATGATCCTGTCCTGCCTTTTGCATTTACGAACGCGCTTGTCGCAATAACCCGGAGACGCCATGCCAACCTGACCACATTGGCGCAGATTTATGCTGCAGGGCAACGATGGACGCGTCCGAGTTTGGCGACGGCCAGGAGAGCGTCTTCTACCAGTCACAGTCCAGGAAAATGTCAGTTTTGGTGGTTGCTCCATGGTGGTGTGGGCCGGTATTTCGATTGACGACAAAACCGACCTCGTCGACATCAGAAACGGCTCTATGACTGCTCGGCGTTACATTGACGAGGTGCTGGAACCTCGTGCATCGGCATTTGGAGAATATTCTCTCCTAATGCATGACAATGCCCGCCCTCACGTTGCAGAAATCGTCAGGGAGTACCTTAAAGTGCACAACATCGCCATTTTACCATGGCCAGCTCGCAGCCCAGACATGAACCCTACTGCGCATGTGTGGGACGTACTGGAAGGCAGCGTCACAGACCGTCAGAACGCACCTACCACACTCCGGGACCTGGAAGATGCTCTTTTGGAGGAATGGGGGCAAATTCCCCAAATCGACATCCGGAGGATTGTCCGGAGCATGTCTCAACGCTGTACAGTTGTCCTTCGAGGTGAAGGGGGTCCAACCGCTTACTAAGCGCAAAAAAGCTTGAAATTGTGTCAGAAAAACTTCCATTCTTTTTTGTGATTGGTTCAAAACTGTTCAGTGTAAAAATACGTCATTTGTGTCTGCTGTTACAAAGAGGCCTGTTTTTGATTAAATAAGGGCCCATTCTCTAAACTACCCACATCTTAATAAATTTGAGAAGGCCCAAGACACCTTAATTGTTTTGGTGTGATACTACAACGTGTTTGGCAGACCGCGTATAATCGAATTTATCGCGTTCGGTACGTATTTGTCCGCTTTTCTTTCCACACGTATCATCGAGGGTTTGCTGAAAAGATGAAATTCTACACCGCAGAAGTAGATGGCGGGAGAATGTTGAACTAACGGAAAGTTTTCAGTTACGTTTCTTGAAGAAAACTTGAGGAAAAACATAGACGCACGGAACAGATCCCTAGAGTGAACGTCAGTTTGGTGGTTAAATTTTAGTCACCCCTTGAAATGGTAAACTGATGGTCATTGCATAGGTTAACCGCTGGTACTGTCGACTGCCCAGTGCTCAAAATCTTCTGGAGTCTTTGGCGTTGACTGTACCTCCACCGTAACAAGAAATTTAAGGATTCTTACCCCGAAGTTAGGTTGCGCTGTGGTGGTTCAGGTAAAATAAATTGATCTTAATTATCCCTCTCGGGAAAGTTTGCAATTAAAACCATAAATTTTAGGTTTTATTTGAAAACAGTGGCGGCAACTTACGTGCTTTAAGTTTCTCGAACTTACATCACGTTCAGTCACGCACAGCACGTGTGATTCAGCGTTTGTATTCGTTTTGAATCATAGTCGATGTCGCGCAACATTTATAGCTGAAACCGCTTCATTAAATAAGCAAATCTTGGTGGTGGGTAGGCCCTGAAGTTGGCCTCCACGGGGCGGGAATATTTCGGGAATCGAACCCCGTCGCCCATATAATATTCATAATTTGTGTTCACTTACTGTTTCCTGGTGTTCGTAACCAACAGGCCCTTTTATTCGAAAATTATAATATTCGTAATTTGTGTTCACTTACTCTTTCCTGGTGCTCGTAACCAACAGTTCTGTACATGAACGTGATATTGCGAATAGCTTATGTCAGTTGCGAAGTCTTTATGATTCTTTTTCCTGTTTATATTGATCTTTATCTTGTTGATCTAGATCCATAATACTATTCCCTCGGCTCTTCCTCGCCTTGTCCTTCCCCGAAGTCAAAACTAGGACTTTCTTCGCTGCTGGCCCAGGTATCCGGGAGCTGCCTCAAGGAATGTGTGATGGACATGTCAGTTGATTATTTTTCCTGTTTATATTGATCTTTATCTTGTTCATCTAGAGCCATAATATTATTCCCTCGGCTCTTCCTAGCCTTGTCCTTCCCCGAAGTCAAAACTAAGATTTTCCTCGCTACTGGCCCAGGTATCCGGGAGCTGCCTTAAGGAATGTGTGATGGAGTCTCAAGGAGAGAGATCCCTTGCCATTACGCTGTGACGCCAGGCAGGCGTCGCCACTTTATCCGATCGCTTTTCCGATATGACGCCAGTTCGCATGAAAGTCAGATTTGGTACACTGCGGTGAAGCAGTCCCGTGACAGGTCACACCCGGGATTCCGTCCCCACTTGAAGCATTCGAACTCTTCTCTTGGCACCGAGGGCCTGCACTTGGCATTTTCCCGGTTACCGGCCGTTCTGATTGAAGTTGCCGCGGTTTTCTCAAGTCTAAAACATTTTACCTTGAAATAGCCCACCGTATATCGCGAACTGAAATTGGGGGGGAGGGGGGGTCATCGCCTGAGACGCAGTGGTCTTTGGCGCGACACTTTCCGCTCGTCAGCAACCACTGCCGACGTTGATAATGCTTGCCCGCTTTATATCCATGCTGCTTATGCAAAGGGATGATTTCGATAATAACTTCATATAATATAATAAATATAATAGGTTAATCCACGTTTGTTGTGTTTTCGATTCAGAGCAGCATCGAGTGGTTATATAGAAAAGGTTTGCCCTTATAAAGGTGGTTTACTGTTATTTTTTAATATTATTGCGAACGCCCGATCGATCTGTAAGTGTGGTCTCTGGTTTTTTACTTCCCAGTACATAAAAATAATATATAATTTTACATTTGTTTGTAATCTATCACAGCGATTATTTTAACTTAGCAGCACAGACATGCATCTAATTTGCCTACCTATGAACTGAGTCCGTGGAACACTTTCTTGAGAAGCAAATAGTAGCTTGGAGGGGGGGATAAGAAACTAGATCTCGGAATGGTTCCTTTCTTTTAGGTTTTCCGATTTAAATTAGTATGCATCGCTGAATCCCCCCGCTCCCTCTGTTCATTACCAGCCTCTGGGATGCTGGGACGACCCGATCTTCAAGTGCCTGAGCACTGAGGGTCCCAACCTTTCGTTGGCTCGATCTATAGACATTCGGTAGGACTCCTTGGACGAGGGATCGGCCCGTCCCAAGGCCTCTACCTGTACACAGGACAGCACAACACAACATCGATGGCTTGAGTGGGATTCGAACCCACGGTCCCAGCGACCAAGCGGCACAAGGCCCACGCCTCAGACCCCATTACCAGCCTCATAAGATCGAATATACTCGCCGCTTTGTTCCCTCAGGCTCTCAGATTGTGTTCTGGCCTTGCACGAGAGGCCAAATTTCTTAGCTACACAGATCAGGCGCAACCATGCATGCACTCACTTTTTTTTTTGGAGTCAGCAACGGGAAGACAAGATGGCGGCACGCGTCCTGCTGTTACGAGTGTGCTGTGTTTTCGACGTTTCGGAGATTCTCTGTCTTGAATATGGAGAGATCAAGGATCTTTAAAACATCGTCAGTGCGTCTCATGTGTGCTGGACGACACCACAAGCAAAAGCGGTGATATTTCAGGTTCTCACGGCTGTTAGTATGCGTCGTGTGAAGCCGTAGATACACTTCATCTTTGAGGAGAAACATAGTCTCACATAGCTTACACGATGATTAAACTTTTGACAGATAATCGTTTTAAAGACTGGAATTATCCAAACAGTTATGTACCTCGACCTACGTTTTACCCAGTCGCTTCGTGAGAAAAGTGTGTTACGGACTACGCTAAGTTATTTGCCCCAGATGGTTTCATTAATCTTTAGAACAGATTTTCTGTTGCCGACATAACTTCGTTGGATGAATAAAATATAATGCGTACTGCTTGCGGGGGTGGAAACGTCTTGCTTTATTCCACGTTCGTGTTTCGGAATTGTAGACACGTCACACTTTCCTTCCTATTGGCAACAGGCACGTCAGATTCCCGCAGAAATTCTGCAGTTAGTTAGTAAAGTAATAAATACATCAGTAAGATATTGTATGTGCGTCATATTGTGATTTATTTAAATAGTATTAAAAATATATTAAAATTGGCCGTCAATCACAATATAAGATAATTAAAAGATTAAAATATCATTTTACGTTCCGTATC